TCCCTGTGCATATTTGCAAACTAAACCTTTGCCTGATATAAATTGCTAAGTATGTGTGAAATATGCTAATTCAGTAACTTCTCTCTTTTCCAGTTTCTACACTGACTAAGAAACATGGCCTTCTACATACTGTAAATTATGGAAATCAATCTACAACTGCTGCAATGCAACACTAGTCTGACATCCAAGCAGCACTTTGCGAGCCTCTGGGCTGTATGTTTATGGCTTGAAGAGGGTGGCATGCAGGCATGATAATGCCTACAGAAGCAATCAAGGAGAACCTTGAAAATACATAGGAAGTGATGGAATAATCTATGACTATAACACCAGCATTTATACGAGGTTCTCTTCAGTAGCATCAATCAGCTGCCCTAGCAGAAAATCCTTACTATTATCACCATCAGCTGCTTGGTTTTCCAAGTGACAACAACAAAATCAGCCTAGACTTCTTTGTCTTAAACAACTACTGAATCAGCAGGTGGAACTCTGCACAACTTGGGAGGTAAACATTAGCTCTATTCATGTGATGCCGGATGGCAGGGAGAATGGGATCACACCTGCCTCCCACCCCACCCCAAAGTTCATGTGTCATCAGAAGCTTCGAACAGAACCAACATGTGTGCAAGTAGTACAAGTCTGGAGGACCTGCATTTTGTCCCCCAACCTTCCATATCTTCAACAGAACAGGTTTCTGTTAAAGCCATAGGAGCAGTGACTGATAAATGACATGGCAATCCTGTGGGCTGTCTTTCATTAAATGCCTTTGAGAAAGCACAGGTGGTTAAGCTAACACATCGGAGGCATGTTTTCTACACTGCATAAACCCACCTGCTCTGATCTGAGATCCTGAAATTAACGAATGGCATTTTATGGGGGTCTGAAGTGGTACCTATCCAATATGTCCCATCTAACCTCATGCTCGTGCTTTTGAATGCAGTTTTCCTCCCTTCCTAGTTCTTTATTTTCCTCCCTTCCTAGTTCTTTATTTTATCACTTTTTGCTTTATGCCTGCTTGTAAATTAATCACTTAGACATCCAGATTAGCCTCTGCTTATTAAGCAATGCAAACATTCAATAGAGGCATTCAAAACAGACACTACAATTATGATTTTGCCCAAGTCAAAAGATTATTTTTTAAGAAGTTATGCTAACACAAAGCTCTTCATTCCATAGCTCTATTGAACTGAAAAATAAAATACAAAGAATGCTGGCTTTTTCTTATGCTAAAGCAGGGGCACACCTCCTTTCTGCAATACAATAGAATATAGTTTATATCCTAACTAGGTTGCTGAGGGTGGGATTGTACTTTAAGCAGAGTTCCTGCCAGTGGAAGTGAGATGACTGACGTACACTTTCTGCCTCTTCCCACAAGGCAGCCTTGTGCCTCCCTGAAAAAAAATATGCACTGGTAGGGCCCTCTAGAGGAACATGAAAGGCAGCACTCAGCATTGCAGTGGGAAGGGGGGTATCTGTGAACATTGTTCCCCTCTATTGCTTGGGATCCTCCACTGGATCTTGGTTCATCTTTCAATGGAAGAAGCCTTTCAGTTCATAGATACCTAGTTAGGATTCAAGCCTATGTTTTCAGCAAAGTAGTATGATGGAAAATAGCAAAAAGTCAAGAAAAGGATAAGTCAAATAATGAACTAATAGAAAAGACAAGTGGAACCCCTATAATAAATTGCAGATGATCTGATATATTACAAGTACACACTTCCATACACAAATGAAAAGAACTGAACATAATGTCCCCACGTAGCGTTATCTTTCACCTTCAGTGTATTGTACAGTCTTCAGTGGACTGCAACAGGCTGTTAAAGATAAATAGACTTTCATAAAACTGTATGAATGGCTTTATTGAGTAGCTAACATGGCCACTGTGATAAACAGCAGCATGCATGGGCTTTGTACACCACACTTATACCCTTTGTTAATTAAAACTGCAGAATAAAAAAGGACTCAAACAAGGTGATCCTATGCACAATCAATAAAATTTGGGTTTACATTGCTTCCTCTTTGCAGCTTAGAAACAGGTCTTGTAATATATTTTTGTTTGTGTTTTTAGAAAAATGCTAATCAAAATGCCAATAGGTTTATCAATAGTCAGCTGAATTTTTGTTAACAAAGCTTCACTGTGAACTTTATATAATTCACAAGCAGCAAACAATGGAGCAAAAGTATTCCACTTCTTCTGATTTACAAATAGATCAAAAATTTCCATAGCTAATGTTATTTAGCTAATATAAAACACCAAAATAGTTGTGTACTATAAAAGCATATTTCAGCCTATGATCACAAAGCAATACAAAATAAAAAGGCCTTTGCCTCCTCCACTCATGGAGTTTTGCAAGTGTGAAGTTGTTTACTATGCCACTATCCTCTTATCAAGCAGTAGTTAATGAGGTGGTTTTCAAAAATGGTTATCAGACTCAGCTCCACATTTGTTCAAGGCTGCTAATAAGCTGGACTCCCTCATGTAACTGTTATCAAGATGCTAGTTAAGCTTGTATCAAGCATTTTCTTTAGCAAAACAATGGTCTAAATGGCTTTGAAGCTATTCCAAAGCGTTCAAATCACATAAAGGAAGCATATCTAGAAAACAGCAAGAGGATCTGAGGAGGTGGTGGGGAGATGAGCATTTGAGGTATTTCAAAGTTTTGTGTACTTGCCAGGTTAAACCTGAACTCTTACACTAAATCTGAAACTAGTGGGCTTTACTTCTAAGTGGCCATACATAGGAACCACTGCATGTTTGACTTTAGGACTGTTACTCTAATGTGAGGGGCACATCTGTACACCATATTGATGCGGAGTGTTATTTTAGACTACCTGTGCATTCTACAGCAACTTTTCTCACCCTGGTGTGGTGGATTGCAACATCTATCAACTCCAGCAGGGCCCTGTTCCAGGCTATTTAAGGGTGACTGAAACATGCATATCTACAGTGCCCATTTTTAAAAGATGCATATAGGTTTCATGCATTGTGGACTATATACAGTACACAGATGTATATTCTCAAATTTTCGCAACATTTGAAACACTTTTAAGAATTCAACTTTAATGCAGGTTACCTACAGCCAAGACCTCAGGCACAATTATCCCCGTTGCCATGTTTGTGTCTGGAAAATGAGGGTATATTTGCAAGTGTACTTGACCAATAGTTTCACCATGCAAACAATGTAGGAAAAATTACTGTCTAAGAGTAAAGACAAATAAAACATTTTAACATGGCAGAAGTAGACTGATAGTGAATTATTATTATTAGTGAATAATACAGTGGTACCTCGGTTCTCGAATGTAATCCGTTCTGGAAGACGGTTCAACTTCCAAAATGTTCGAAAACTGAGGTGCAAAGGGCTGGCTGCAAGTTCAACTGGAAAAATTGAAATATAGGCAGCGGAAGCCGTTCAACTTCTGAGGGACGTTTGAAAACTTTTGGGTTTTTGGCATTCAAAAAACAAAATGTTTGCCTTCTGAGACGCTCGAAAACCAAGGTACCACTATACAAATAAAGATACAGTGTGTCACTTAAGAGACAGGTAGCTCATCTGATGCACAATAAGAGGAGCAACTCAGAAGCTAGTCTAGCATTCATTTTACTGGTTTGCCATCTGTCACGCAAATTGTGATGCTGGCCTGACATGATGGCTCTTTGTGACTGTACTAGGTCTGTCTTTAGCCAACTCATCCTAAGGCAGCCTTAGAGACATCCCTCAAACCTACAGAACCTTCTTTAGATCCCACTCCTTTGCATTTTCTCATCAAGTGTCCAGGGCTATGACGAAAACCAGATGGGGAACCATTGCCCACAATTTTTAGCAGTTGCATGCTCAACAGGTTGCCTGTCCACAAAGCCTTCAGCCAGCACCAAGGAGTTGATGGTAACACTCTAATCTGATTTCTCAATCTCAGTTTGTGTGATTTTTGGTTCACTCATCCTCAAATAAATGAGACAGATCTTAAATTAACTGTGGCTTTACTAGTACCTTTCTTCTTATTTGAACAGGACCTTGCAAACCCTAAGGACAGCCCCATTCCCACAGTTTATTTTGATAAACGCATATTTTCCTTCAGCCAGGAAAAAGCACAGTTGCATTTAAATGTCACTGAAAAAGGCCCAATACTATCTAAAATTGGCTGCTTAACCCCTCTTCAGACAGCTGCTCAAATATTAAAGCATTATCTAAAGCAGTTTTACAAAGCTCTTATCTACATAGAACCACATTCTGATCTCATTTGCCCTGGTTTAAATCCAGAGTAACTGCATTAAGCTGGTAGTGCTAATTCTGCTTACATAATGACCATTTATATTGATATTGAAATCAGATTCTCACTCTAGTGTCATAAAACTAACCCTCCATGTATCCATGTCAATCCCATTTCCAGTTCTTAAGAGTAAAGGGTTTGGACTCTACTTTAACCACAAATTAGTACAGTAGTTGGTTGAAACTTACGGACTGATACAGACAAATAGTGCAAACAATGCAAAAAAAAAATAAAAATCTGACACTGAAGATTACTCAGGAATAATAGCATAAAGTAATGGCAAAGAGAGGTCCTTCCTTCAGTTTTAAGACTCAAATGCTCACTTTGTTTAGCTAATAAACATTGTACAAATATCCCTGAAAACAATGAAAGGCAGTTGAACTGTGTTTGCAAGCAGCCAGCAAAGCACCCCAGTTTTTCTGAAAGGTTCTCCCATACTTTCTTTTTAATAGTGGGAAAATATGAGATAACCAACAAAATTTGCATGCAGGTGTAAAGGCAATTCAGTGCCAAGTGAATATTGGAAATAATGTGCCATCTGGAAAGCCAATAAATTTCACATTAGGGCTCACATCTGTTTCAAAATTTCTCCCCATCCTATAGGATCCAGAAGGTGTGGGTCATCAGCAAACTCTCTAGAGAAGTACTGTATTTTTGGATCAAATTCTACTACATGGTTGTAGGGAAATGAGGTACTAAAGGATACTACATTTTAAAGTCTTTTTTTTTCTTTTAAGAGAAAACCCCACTCACATATTAGCCAATATGTATATTTATAACTTGAGTTTTTTGGCCCAAGCCGTGGTGTGAATTAGCCTACCTCTGCTCCACTAATTTTTTGCCCTGAAAGGACCAGGTCAATGTGTTTAAGAAACTTCTTAACTGCATGTTCTTCATTCTTCTTGAACAAAGCAAGATCCCCTTTTTCTGCCCCTTCCTTGGCCTGGCCGTCTCCTTTCTCAAGCGAAAGCTGTAGCTTCTTCCCTCAGATGTTCCCACAAGATAAAATTCTTTGAAGAACAAAACAGAAAGTACAGTGGTGCCTCGCAAGACGAAATTAATCTGTTCCACGAGTCTCTTCGTCTTGCGGTTTTTTCGTCTTGCGAAGCACGGCTATTAGCGGCTTAGCGGCTATTAACGGCTTAGCGGCTTTAAGAAAAAGGAAACAAACTCGCAAGAACTCGCAAGACGTTTCGTCTTGCGAAGCAAGCCCATAGGGAAATTCGTCTTGCGGAACGACTCAAAAATCGGAAAACTCTTTCGTCTAGCGAGTTTTTCGTCTTGCGGGGCACCACTGTAAAGGGCTTGCTCATGGGGAGTCATTTTGAGTCAGATAATATTTTGCTGCTGAAGTATATGGAGAGACCTGGTACATTAATATGTAAGATTGTGCCTTCAGTGCATTTAAACTGCAACGTGTCTTCCCCTGAATTTTTGATATGGATTCTGCAATGACAGCCAAGTTGTTTGCTGGTGTTTGCGCTGCTTGTTTTCTGAAAAATGAATAAAAATACTTTATTCAAAAAAGAAGAAAAATATTTTGCTACAGGCATGTCCTGCCACATAGAGTATCTCCCTCCTTACACCCAGTGTGTCCTCATGTGGGAAAACAGGCCATCAGCACAGTATTGGACAACGTGAGGCAGCAACACTCAGCTAACCTCCTGTCAGTTGTGTTACTGGTGCTTACTTGGAAGTAGAGGGGAGAATGTGGGCGCAGTGCAAATGTGCCAGTGGGACTGGCTCCACTGATATCTTTGCCACATCAGTCTTCCCTGTCTATTACCTGGTAAGCAGTAGCAATGTGATTGACTTGAGGTCAGGCGAATGCTGCTGCCCCATTAAACTTCCTGCAGGAGCAGCTCTGCTTGGGGCTGTAGCAGCACCACCCATTGCTACTTCGGGGGCGATTTTGGTACAGTCAATGACCATTTCACAAGGGGGTTCCGTTTCGGGCACCCGTACGCATCAGTGGAGCACATATAAGCGCACCCTGCCCCGTTATGCCCTTTTAATGATGTGTTCTGTGACGTTTTCAGCCACTTCTGGGTTCGGCACTGTGTGCAATTGCGTACCTTTCAGATGTGTGCTAATCGGTCATTGCCTATACTGCCGGAAGCTGGCATAAATACTGGTTACAGCACTGCAACCTTGCAAGCCAGCAGGTCCCTGCTTCAAATCTCACCACAGCCACAAACCAAGTGGCCACGTCAGGCAAGCCACTCTTATTCCCAGCCTCGGTTCCACATCTACAAAATGGAAATCCAAATTATCAGGCTATTGCAGAGATAATCAAATCATATGTGTAAAGTACTTTAAAAATGATCTGTGTGAAGGCCAACTACACACTACAACATTATAACTAAAATGTCCAGTGTCCTGATTTCTTTTTCTTTACCTGTATTAGGGCTGTGGTGCGGATGAAGGGTTTTGGTTTTTGTTTGCTTGCTTTTTAATTCTTTCCCACAATGCCAATCCACCTCCTACCCTATCCTGAAGCTGATGTTATCCATGGAGGGGGAAACAAAAAGCTGCAATACAAGAACCTTTTTATTTTCACTTCTAAATCTTGGCAATTTGTCTCAGGAAATTATGCAGTCCTGCTGTCCCTGTATATTGACTATACACTGACATAATCTGTGCACAGTTCTTTTAAAAATACACATTTTACAAATGCAACACTTTTTCTTACTCTTCAAAATATCAGCCTTTTACAAATTGCCTCATAAACTTGCCCTTTATCTTCCTTTTTAAAAATAAGTGTAAAATATACTGTGCTTGCCATCGAGTTTTTATAATATTCTCTTGACTTTGGATTTAGGTAGTAAATAGATAATCCTAAAGTGAAATATATGCATCTCTGAAAAAAATGTGGTAGTGAAGTTTATAGAATCTAAAAACTCTCCTCTATAAAAACAGATTAACAAAATCTATAGATAATATAGATAAGCAAATCTATCCAGAAGTGGATATCTTGGCAGCATTGAGTCAGCCCAAAAGCTGTTCTTTTCATTTACATCGTTCCAGATTTTCTTGTCCCCAGGCTGATTAATGCAATCTGGAACTGAACCATTGCCTTCACTCTGAAACTGTATGCTTTAACAGCAAAATCACAACAATGTATTCAAAAAATAGTAAGAAATGGTATTCAGTACACAGATACTCAGCCAAAGCTCCTTTATTCCCCCCTCACAAAATTTAAACACGAAATATCCTTTTTCCTAATACTCTCTGCCCCAGGAATCCCTAACCATTATGCCAGAAATACTGCCAACACAATCTGTCTTCTAATACGACAATCCTCTTTATATAACTTCTGTGTTGAATTCAGTCTGCATTACTCCACCATTAACTACTTTCCAGGAAACCTCTGTTCAGAAGAGTGCACTAGGATGCTTCTTTCATTCCATTTTAGATTCCAATGTCATATTGTGGTACATTCCAATTGTTGTGTAACTGTTTGTGGTTCATAGCATCTAAGAGGTATATGCATCTATGAAACACAGAACTGACCCCCGGTCTTTTTGTAGTGCTTCCATGCCACTGGAAGGAAAAGCAAGGCGAATCTTCTCAGGCTCAAATCATGACATATTATGGATGAAGCCATTTCTATAATCAAACCTGCAATTTATTTACTGTTATCAGTTTTGTACATTTTAGTACACCTTCTTTTTCTCCATCATGGAACTCAAAATGACAAATGTAGGACTCCCAGGCAGACTCACTTTCAGGGCCTGGCTGCACATTACACTCACCATGTTGAAAATAGTCATGTGTGAGACTGATGCTCTGGCTATTCAGAAACTCCTTCAGAAGCCCACAGCAAACAGGCATCACTACCTGCCTCTTCTTCCCTCTAATGTTTATCTCTGATTATTAGTAGCTAAGCTTACCGGTAACTGAGAGAGGGAGGAGCAGGGGCAATGAGCCACTACAGGGGAGTAAAGGCTGTTATTAAAAACAACCCCAAAGCCTTCATTAAATCATTCATTCAGGGATTTTGAAATCGCCTAAGGGACCTATTTGCCATGTATTAATCTGAAAATTAAGCATAAGAGTTAATTTATAGTTGACTGAAATCTATTAGTCACACACATTATTAGAGCTCTGATCATAAATACCTGCATTTGTGTTTCTGCCCATAATGTCCCTGCAGAGGCTAGTGCAACTGAAACACCCCTGTATGTTACTGAAAATTTCTCAGGGTGGGCAATAATCTGACTGAGTCAGATCATTGGTCTGCCTAGCTCAGAACTGCCTAACTAGCAGTGACTCCAAGGTTTCAGACACTGTTATCTCATAGCCCTACCTGAAGATGCTGGGGATGATGATGATGATGATTAAAATGAGTTTCACAAGCTGCTGTCCAGGGGCAACCATTGGATACAACCAATAAAAGTAATTGAATAGTATTTATTGGATTATTTTTTGACACTGAACTCTCTGTACAACAGGTTTGGTTTTAAGCAGTGCATTCAGAAGTAAAGTTCACCTTGGGAAATAGAAGGGAAACATCCACATATAATCCTTATCCTTTAGTAATAATAATATGCAAACTGTATGTGAGCCTCGGGAAAATAAACACACATTTCCAGGTTTTGTTTCTAAGATGCCTTGTAGCAAATGAACAGAAGGAAGCACAACTGAGTAGATAAAGGACTGACTCACAGACAAGCATCTGTGGCTTTTGTCTCTCAGTAAGTGCGACTATCTCAAAGCACAAACTATGACATGTGAGAATGTTTCTCAGTCAAAATGTCCTGTAGAATTGGCTTGCAAAATAAAGCAAATAGTTATTGATCAATATATTTCCTTTTAGACATAGAAACCTGGTTCTTTGTTTTCTGGGTGTTGCTGTTTTGGTCTAAGTGAAACCAACCAACCACATGCAGCAAAGAGGGCTTGGATTGCTCTCCTGGTCAATTCACAGTTGAGGAGAGATTTGACTAGGATATTAGAATGGGGTTTGTGCTGTTCTTCTTCCTAATTTTGAACTTCATTTTATCCTTTCTCTCTCTCTCCGCCCCCTTTTAAAGCAATTGATGACAAGGATAAACATGGTTCTGAACACTGAGTATAACACACCCAACAGTCCTGCTTTTCGCAAGTGGAATTTCTGTGATAACACAGACAAATGAGATTAATAGAAACATAATTTTGCTTACATATGGAAACATCTCTGTGCTGTACTGCTATGAAAAATAATATCATGCCCTATCCATTATTGAAGCCTCTTGCATGTTTATGTATGTATGTGTTTCTTTATTTCATAAAATTTGTATACTACTTGGTTGCAAAACACCTCAAAGTGATTTACAAAAAAGTTATATGCTAGGCTTGCCATGTCGCAAAAAGTGAAAATCCAGACAGAAAAGCTGTTGAGCTCTGAGTTGTTGGGCTTCTTTTGCAAAAAACGCAAAGAAATTGGACATTTTGGAGCTATTTCTGAGGGAAATCGGCAAAAACGACACTGCTGCCATGGGCTGCCATACGTCCAGCTTTTCCCAGACATTTTGCCAATTTTCAGCCCAGACACTGCTTGCAGCTACAGCATTCCAGCTATGTCCTGGAAATTCCGGACGTATGGCGACCCTATTTAAGCAGACCGGAGGAGCCACATGTTCTGCCATCACTCTCTAGCATGGATGTACCAATACTGTGTTGCTTTTCCTCATAAAAAGTAATCAATCCATTTCTGACAAAAGACTTCTCTCTTTCAGACAAAAGACCTCTCTTAGACTGTTGCCTAAAAATACATTCCTTTTGACTTAGATCATACTTTAAAGTAGTAATTAGATAACTATTAGGAATTAATAGATAGACAAGCAAACATGCTGAACACCAAAATACCAGTTTTCCATCTTTTAAAATAATGGCACTGTTTTCCCCCTCTCCCTGTTCACAGGGCAGGCAAATTAGTTCTTCTGAGAATACTGCCAGAAAGGGGAATAATAAGTGACAAAAGCATACAATGAGAAATGTGCAACATGTCTGTTTTTTGTTAATTAGAAACTAGAGATCTCTTATAACTAATAACGCTTGAGGTTTCTGTTCTTTGAAGAGGCAATTTTCTAATCAGCTGTAATTACTGAGGGAAAAAAGGGTTCTATCCATTAAGAGTCTTCAAAAAAATATTTCCTCATGTCTTAGCCCATAGACAGTAAAAAAAGACAAGAAAAAAGTGGCAAGATGCCAATGATTACCTGAATAGGAGACATTTAATAGTTTTATAATGTGCTTGAGTGGAAGTTATTAAATTTGCTATATTGGTCTTTCCAACTCATTGCTATTTCAGGGGAAAAAATAAAAACACAATTCCAAATTGTTTGACTGGGAAATAATTGCTTGACAAATACTTTGCTAATTAATTGTGAATTTATCACAATGCTGGACATCAATTATAAAACAATCTTATGGAACTTTTGCCCCGTTCTATGAATCAGGAAATGAGAGTCAGACTAAGCATGATGTTAGGATGAAAAAGTTGCTGAGCTATTTTTGAAAAATCACATAGAAATTAAACATTTTTGAGCTATTACTGAGGAAAATAGGCAATAAAGACGCTGCCAACATGGGCTGCCCTATGTTAAGTGCTTTTTTGCATTTAATGTGCACATTTTAAAAAAAAGTCATTTGGCAGCTGCTGAGTGTGGCAGCTGCTAACTACCATTATCAGAGCAGATGGGAGGAGGGCAAACCTTTCCTCCCTTTCTGCCATCCTAACCAAAAAGCATTCCTCTGAAACTGCTAATTGGATTAGGAGGAAATCCCCCATTAGCACCTGCTGCCATCCCAATAATTATCAGTCCACACCCCGGGGACTGCTATTTGCATTTTTAACAATGTGCATGTTAAATGCAAAGATGCATTGAATATTGCATCTTGTTTAGCCCCCAGTTTAAGTTTCAGGTGTACTGCTAAACTCTGGTTAATTTAAAATGGAAGTTTTCAGTCTCCTTCTCACTGGAGGAAGGGGAGAGAGGCAGACCTGAGACTCACTGCCAGCTTGTAAAATTAAACCAAGGTTTATCATTCTGTGTGAGTTATTTCTATCTGCCAGTATTTTGGCTTTTGACATTCCAAGACCTCACCATTCTTCAACAGTTAAAGGCTAATGTTAATTCCAGGCATACCTAATAATGTGCGTACAATCCAGCTTCATGACCCATGATTTTATGTGCCTTCAGAACACCCATTTCATATATTTCACCTAATGAACTGTAATGGGGGGGGATTCAAAATGCATATTAATACAGCAATATTCATTTTCATGCATTGCTTTTTCCATTTTACATAAGCTGAAATATTAAAGGTTTAAATAAAGTATTGTTCCAACAGTTCGACAATAAAATATTTACTTATAAATTACTTGCTATGGGGATTCAAGTGCATCTTTAATGCAAGCACGCCCTGTTTCTATTCTGCTAAAGAACAGCAAAAGTTACAAACAATGATTAAGCTGTCAAACATAAGAACAGCTACGAAAAGAAGTTACAATAGACTTCCGATAAAAAGTTTTGTTATTGGAACTTTGCAGGGAAATAAAGGGTATTGTTGACAAACTACAGTTATGCATAGGAGCAACTGACTTTTCTGTGATGCTGGTTCAAGATCTATTTAATGATTTGCCCCAAGGAATGTTTTTGCATCTGCTAAATAAACATGATTTTCATTTTTCATTTAGGCAACTCAATATGTCTGCCCAACATGTGATATTTGCGGGGGGGGGGGGGGACACAAGCTTGAGAACTAGTGTTCTGCCTGGTTTGCTTTCTTCTCTTGTTCACATATCAAAATATGATCAAATACAATGCCGGGTAACAAAGATGAATCTACCAGCCCTAGACTACTGCATCCTAGCATCATCAGGAACAGTGAATTTGGAAAACAGTTGGTAATTTGATGAAATATCTGAACAGGAAAATTTTCTCCAAGGGGACACTTACTCTAATTATCATGAGCAAACCACCTTACACAAACCCATTTCCCAGTGTGGAGAGACAAGTGATCCTATTGCAGAACACCAGCCCAATAAGTTAACTATACAGTGAATTATTTAGCTTCTGCACAGCACGAGGCGTGCCTAAGTCTCTTAAGCAAACATTTTGCATTTGCCATGGGGGGTGTGGTTCTTTAAAATCTACCTTCACTTACTGTGTAGGACTATTTGCAGAAAATAACTGCTAGGGAGTATCTGATCTCAGATGAATCCACCACAGAAAAAGATAAATTCCTTGTTGCTAGGGAAAAAGGAAGGGCACATTATGGTTCCAAGGACTAAATTATAAGGCAGAAGTAGGAAACATGTACTAAAAGGGGGGGGGGGAGCAACTGTTCAGGACTCCAGGTTTCCTATTGCCTAGTGTCCAAACAACTGACTCATCAGTCACAGCTCTGACTTCCATTGGCTAAAAACATTAAAAGCAGGCGCAGCCAGACTGGCTCACCTCACAAAAATTGTTTAGAAGGGAACCTGTACATATTGCTTCATAGCTTTAATTCTAATAGGGCTACAAAAAATGGAAGTCCAGAGTTTGTGGGCCCTGCTAGTTGTGTGCCTGATATACCCACCTCTGGGAGGCCCTGGAGTTGGAGGAATAACATTTGTCCCAATAAATCTTTTCTACTCATGTAGACGTCCATGCTAATTTTCCAGATTCTCCAGATGTTGTTCTACATGAGTAGAACAGGCTTCTTGCATCCGATGTTGTCCCTCCAAATCATGATGGAGAAGGAGGACAGTGAGAAGGGGCAGAGCTGGCATACTAATACATATTTGCTCTCTCTGGTTGAATGAGGGATTTGGAATGTCTGAATATGGCTTGTGTCTGCCTTAATTCCCTGTTACACAAACTCTCCCTGGAATGATATTTCTTCATTAAAGGTAAAGGTACTCCTTTACCCCTGACCGTAAGGTCTAGTCGCGGATGACTCTGGAGTTGCGGCGCTCATCCTGCTCTATAGGTCAAGGGAGCCAGCGTTTGTCCACAGACAGTTTTTCCAGGTCATGTGGCCAGCATGACTAAGCTGCGAACCAGAGCAGCGCACAGAAACACTGTTTACCTTCCCGCCGGAGCGCTACCTATTTATCTACTTGTACTTGACACGCTTTTGAACTGCTAGGTGGGCAGGAGCTGGGACCTAGCAACAGGAGCTCACCCTGTTGTGGGGATTCGAACCGCCAACCTTCTGATTGGCAAACTCTAGGCTCAGTGGCTTAGACCACAACGCCACCAGAGTGCCACCCATGTCCTTCATTATTCAAGCACAATTATAGCTTGCAGAATCTTGGCCACATGCTGCTATAACATTGGCTAACACCCATTAGTAAGCAAATATTTTATCTTTGTGGTGCTGGTTGGACATTAGGGTTTACAATTTTCTGGTTCATGAAAGCATTGTCTCAATGTGACATTTTTCTTTTGGGGACAACAAAAGGATTAAGCAGGTAATAAAGAGGATTAGACACTATTTCCTGTTGGTGGCAGGAATGAGCAGCATTATATGTTTTTTTTTACTGAGCGTGATAGTAGCTTGTTATTTCGTTCCCTCAATGTACGCTGAGCAAAATAGCCACTTAAGAGCATGTTGACACATCAATTAACACTTCATAACCAATCTCTTCTGATTACGACAGCAGACTTAACGCTTACAAGATGGAGTTAGGAACTAACTGAAACATACAGAATCTTTCAGCAAACTCAGTTACTGCAGTTTATTAAATCATGCTGTTCAAATGGAAAAAAACCACCAGAGAAGATAAGAGTCTGCTTGCCTTTAACAGCACTGATTGCTACTTTGATGCATTTTTCTCCATGTAAACATTTACAATAAATGTACCCAGACCATAAACCATTTTCTTTTAATGATGTTTCTCAGCATGTTCCATTTAATTTCTTCATGACCAGTCAAAGGATTTTTTTTTGTTTTTTTAAGTACCCTTGTCAAAATATAATTAAAAGTCAACATGACAACAATGCTCTGGGATTTGTACTCTTTAATAGGACTAATTTTTATTAGAACTGATGAGAAATCTAAAACTTAGCTTGACTGTACATGTCAGTGGCGAGTATGACCCACCCCCCACAGTGGAGAAGATCACAAATATATGGGGTTCGCTTAGTAGGTCACAGAAAGTTCACATGCCAAGAGAGGAAAGAGCGACAGTGGGACCTATCACCATGCTATCTAACGCTGCTCTGTAAAGCCCGCAGCCTCTTCGCCTGACTCTCACAGATTGAGAGTCACACCCTGACAGTAAACAGGACAGGAAACGGCCATCACGGAATGAAGACAATGCCCTAGAGATGATGGGAGGTTGAATGACTCAGTAAGTCGCACACTCAACCTCACTGGTGTTGCTATGGTAACTCAATGCACCTGACACCATTATATCAGAGCATCCAGACTTGGGGGGGGGGGTGTTATTCAAGACATGAGACCAAGCACTGTGTAATTTAACCCTCTGTTCACATTACACCAACAGGAGGTCCCCCCATTTGCTGTCTGGCACAGAGCCACTTCCTTTGACATCTTAACCGCTCATACTTAGACCGCCATTACCAAGAAATGTGGCTGGCCATTCCAGCAATTTGAATCCTTGTGGGATACAGTAAACCAAAAGGACTCAGGAATGTGCCTGTATTGCAAGGGGTTGGACCTCTACAACTCTATTTATTTTATATAGTCTATCGCTCCACCCAACTCACAAGAAGACTGGGAATAAATGCTGTGGATATTCAGTCACTTTTTGGCAAAGCAGAAACATGGATGGAAATAACAGGTACGGGTTTTTTACCTCATTTGGATGAAAAACTACCTTCCTTTTCTTTCCATTGAATTACATGGTGCCTGCTACATGTGTATTTATTTATTAGTTTTGCAAGGTTTGTATTCCCTTTTCCAGCCCAGTGCTCTTCATCCTCTCCTTTGCTCTGATGTGCTTTTCATCTTGTTTTTCAGAAGGAGGAGGATACTTTTTCCAATTAAATCACCATTTCACTTAAAGAAACTTCAAGGATGATTCAACCCTTCATCACTCCTTCTTAGCCTTTTCAGCTCTTTCCTTTTTATTATTTATACTGCAGTTCTTTTAGTCCGTGAAGAAAGTGATTTCCTTTAAAAGGCTGTTTCTCTATGCAGTGCTGATAAGAACAGGCAAAAGGAAAGGAAAACATGATATAAATTTGTTTTCTAAATTTATTTTAGATGCACTATCAGCCTGCCTCACCTCAAGAGTGGGTTTGATCAAAGTGGTAACAGTTTGAAGGACAACATTCAGGAAAACCACTATATAAATAGCCTGTCAATATGCTGAAATTTGAATCAGCCCTGATTAATTCTGCTCTAAAGACCAGTCATTAAAACTCTAAGAGATGTTTCGTATTTGTGGAGGCTTCCCATTTTAGAACCCTGGAAAGTCAGGGTTCTGAAAAATGTGGGAGCTTCCACTGATACAAAATTCTCCCCACTCACCTTCCACAAGTCAAATAGTGGCAGAAACAGCAATAGAAGACCACCCAGTTCTCTCTCTCTCTCTCTCTCTCTCTCTCTCTCTCTCACACACACACACACACACAGAGAAAGAGAGAGGGGGGGTACCTTTCCAAAATTTCTGCTTAAAGAAGGTTTGTTGCTGAAAGGTACTGAAAGCACTGTCTTGGCATGCTTGTTACTGATAGTAAATGACAACTGAAGCACACATGTTTAAACAACTGTAAAAGGGGGGTGGGCAACTTAAATTCCAAAGGGATTTGCACAGAAATAATCACAACAAAGACTTTTCTACTTCTTTGGCAGATTGTCTCTTTAACTGTCTAGATAGGTGAGAATTTATCTAGTAGGGAAGTTAACTTATTATTGCTGACTCAGCAAAGGTGCTGTGAAACCAATTGTTCTCATTTAGCTGTCTAAGGGTGAAGACAGACAGACAGACAATCAGACACACACACACACACACACACACCCCAGTGGAATTCTATTTACAAGACTATTAAACTTTGTCTCAGTTAAATCATTCACATTGTCCTCCATTTTCAACAGGTGATACCATCAGTTGGAAGACAAGCTTTATTCACACATCTGGTTAATTTCCTTACATAGACAGGGGTTCACCTGAGGCTGCAACCCTAAACATACATTCTGGAAATCAATGGAGCTAAGGCAAGGAGTGAGCTGGCAGCATGTTACAGCCATGACTCATTGTCTGTGGTTCAAGCAGATGGGAAGTAAGGGCCAAATTAGATGTGATATTATCCATGTCTATACTCCCTTATTAATTTATTTTTAAATTGCTGATGTTTGTAGGGGGAGCCAGATCTAAACTATGGTGTATATATATAAGGATGGAAGGTTTCATCCTTTCTGCCCCTCCATGGCAGTCCCAACCCAAATCAGGGCCCCCTGCACTAGGCATCTGCAATGGGTGGAAAACTTCCAGACATTAACTGAGACCAGGGCAAGACAAAAAGCTTTCTTTAAAAAACCCCACCGTCCTACAAGTTGTAGTCCACCTCCTCCCCATGCTTGCCATTTATAAAAAAATATTATATTATATATGCATAGGCTAAATATATCAATAATGTCACATCTAACTTTTCTTCTTTTTTGTGGTATAATGTATTCATGTTTATGTTTTTAAATGTAATTCACTTGAAGACTAGTCAAATACATCAGAAGCAGGGAACTGGACAGGGAGGAGTTTGGACCATTATATTCCAAAGGAGTTTGCCTCTGGAAATTTACATCTCCAAACTGGAACCTGAAATTCAGAGAAACTATTTTTCATTTAAGTGAAATGCATAATTCATCCAGGTGATATTTCTGTGCTCTCTCTTGGTCTGAAATGTATCATGTCAACTGGTATTTTATACATAAACTCCATTAATGGTACTCGGCCCAATCAGGGTTCTGATTGCTGTGCCAATTCCCTAAACCTTCCCTCGCCTTCCACCCTGGGACTTTGCATGTGGCAGATCTCCACCATTCTGTTATACCCTGCCACTGCCTTGACAGGGTTTGAATTGTCCTGTTAATACTGTAAGGATTCTCAAAGAGGCATAATTGCTGTCCCTGCATTTTTTGGTTTTGGAAATGTTCACTAAACCTCTCCAGCAAATTTGCCCACATAGTGTGCATTTGATTCTGATTTTTGCTCAACAAGGGTATGTTGCCAGATGCTGTTGTTATTATTAATTATCTGCCTTGCAAGATTAAAACACGGGATTAAAAACAGTTTAAAACAACTTAGGCTGGATCTAGACACTTCAAAGAAGCATTTCAGTTAAAGACGTTTTAAACTTCATATGAGAAATTGGGTTAGCAAAAATGGAACTCCACAGCACCATCAGGTGTCATAGTGTTAGAATGCATAAACAACACATATAAAGTGTTTTTTCTTTGCCAATGTAGCTGAGTCCTTACAGTCACAGAATATGGTGGATCCAAAAATTGTGCTGTTAGTAACAAGCCTGTACAATGCATACACCATTATGATACATGGGAATAGCAGGGGAGTTTGGTAAATTCTCTTCACAGCAATCCAGACCTTAAAATTACTGAAGTGCCCAAGTCAGCAACATTTTCCATGCTTCCCCAAGGGCTAAACAGTGAATATCACTGACCTGTATGATGAGTGAATAATAATTAAATGCCAAGTTCTCTTTTTAAATTGAATTGGGGATTCGCGGCTAATTTTTACTCTAAGATAACATCTAGCCTGGAATACTCTACAACATTATTAGAAATAACTAAGCAGATGGCACTGGCAGTTTCTCAAAATGATTGTACAGCATTAAAAGCAAAAAACAAATTCTGGATAATACTAGCAGTAGTAGATATAAACACTGTGGCTAATGCAAGGGTAACAAGCCCTAAGCACAGGAAAGTAGATCTGAGCGATGGCCAGACATTGCCTCATGGGCCACATCAACAGACAAAATGCAGGATATAGAGGAACTAAACATGAGAAAAGAGAACCATTTTGTTTGCAAATGAATTGTAATCTATGGAATTCTGCAAAACATGGCAAACACATTTTCAAGTCACTCTTTCTAGATTATCCCTTTTGGGCTGCTCAAGTTTAGCATTTGTGTAGAATTATAAAAAGGAAAACCCATTAAAACCAGGCTTGGACTAATTTCCTCTCCTCACTAACATCGTGCTAATGTCTTTAAATCAGTGCAAAGAACACGGCTTGCTCTCTCCGTTTCAAGCCATAGGCAAGCAATCCCTACCACCACCTTGGTGTTAACTGAATTGTTAAAACTGAACATTTCTTTTACAAGGCAAGGCATAATGAGACCGTCAAGTATGCCCAAATATTTTGAAAATACTGTTTGCCTAAACCAGTTAAGTTAATTGCAATGCAACTAGAGCTGCCATTTGTACTGACCTCGCTAGTATTTGAGCTAATTGGAGCAATTAAGGCCTGTCTAACAATGATTAAACCCAATAACACGTTTGTAAGCAAAGTTGCACTTTGAAAACAACAGCTATCCTATTCATACGAAGAGTAGCTGTTGTCTGAGGTATGCCTAACAAGTATATAGGCAGCTGTTGTTGTTGTTTAGTCGTTTAGTCGTGTCCGACTCTTCGTGACAGCGTTTTATACTAATAACATGGATTCTTGTGCACTGGAGTCAATTGTATGTCTGATGCCAGACTTTTTGTAAAAAGCTTCAGGGGCTTTTCTACAAACAAGCAACATATACATTTTATGAAATAAATAAAATTTATGTCCTACAGACTGCCTCACTTTGGAACTAGTGATGCACTTAGGGCAGCACTTTGGGCCAGAAATCCAAGCCCCTGCTTAGCAGAATGAGCAGCGCCCCCGCCACAGAAAACACAATATAGCTGGCTCAACACATTTTAAAGTAGGTGAAACAATGAACATTATCATCTAAAAGGGGCCATTTGAGATAGTGAAATAATATATATTACCACCTAAAGGGGGAGCTCCAAGATCACTTAAGCCCAGAATTTAAATGTTTCTAAGTACACCATTACTTGGAAAGCAGGCTAAGAATGTAAGATGAGCCTGCTGGATTAAGCCAATGGCCCACCTAGCCCAGCATCCTGTTCTCACACTGGCCAACCAGATACCCATGGAAAGCCTGAAAGCAGGGTCTGAATACAACACTACTCTCTCCTCCTGCAATTCCCTGCAACTGTTATCCAGAGACATACTGCCTTTGACCCTGGAGGTAGCATTCGAGACTAGGAGCTACTGATAGCTTCATCCTCCGTGAATCTGTCTAATCCTCTTATAAAGTCACCCATGTTGGTGGCCATCACCGCCTCCTTTAACAATGCACTATGTAAACAGGTACTTCCTTTTGCCTGTCTTGAATCTTCCAGCATTCAGTCCCTGAGTTCTCATGTTATGGGAGAAGGAAGGGGGGAAATTCTCTGTCCGTTTATTATGCCATCCTCTTACTCACACCACACCTCCTGTGGGTAATAGAGGGCTGCCCACAGGAAGCAATGGAGAGGCCCAGGAAGGAGTTCAACATCAGGCTGTTACAAACATTCAGGAAGTACACGCATTTCTGTTTGCTTATCAATCTCCCCTCTCCTCCCTCCCCAATGTACTGTTCTGGGGATTCTCTTGACACCCCCTCCTTGCCATCAATTTTGTGGGGAAACAGGGGAGGAAGCCCCATTGTACTAGCAAAAGTCCTTGTCTAGGCTTCTGCTAATGGGACCTGTTACTCGGAACTGGACATTAGCACAGTTGTGACTGGGCAGCAGCATACACATCAAAAGGTGAAAGCTGATTTCTCATTTGAAAGTGCAAAATGAAACTTCCAAGTCAACTCAAAAGTTAGGATCTGATTGCTTGACATTGCTTAGTGGCTGTTTGCTGAATATAACTTGTCAAAGACAACAGAAAATGAGGGAATTTTGTTTTATTATTACCGCACTGTTAACACTAATGAAAATTACCCTGTGCAGAAAAAGTACAATCACTTCACTTAATCAAGCTCTCAAGTCCCAGATAAATCTTAAGCTTCTCTCTTTCTCTATGCCACATTCTCCCCCCAGTAAAGTTGTAAATTATGTTGTTGACCTTAGATAATAGCTGGCAGAGAAACAGTTCCAGGGGAGAAGCATTTTGTCTTGGAAAGGGATTATTTATCAAAAGCTTCCAAGTGCTCAAGTACTGTACTTCACTATCTGGAAGATGCTTTCAAAATTCAACTGGCTACATTTCTTACAGTCAATTGTAGCGGAAGAGTCCAGGTCAGGAGTTCATAACCTGCATATAACTTACGAGGCAGCATACTTCTGAAAATTGCATGTTGAAGACAAACAAGAGAAGAAGATCTGTTGTCCTCATGCCCTCTTTTTAAGTATTAAAAAAATAATGCTGAACTTGCCCCAAAGCACAAAACTGAGTGCAAAGCAAGCATTGCGTGAACCCCAACACCAAACCACTCTTTTGATCCAAACTTTGATTATGTTGACAAGTAACTTGGCCACACAAGAACAAAACCACTCCTTTGATCCCACATTTTGCTGCTGAACAATGACAGCCAATTTGCAGAAGACAAAGTAATGAAAGACAAAAATGAAAGACAAAAAAGCTTAGTACATAAACTAAGTTCAAGTAAAAGGTAGAGTGCAGGCTCCAAATACAAAACACTTACCCAATAATTTCCCTTTCAGTTAAATTATCCTCAAACTTCCCAGACTCCACCCCCCATTGCCACCTAGATCCCTCTCAAAATCAATTAGCCCTCAAATAAATGCATCCCAATCACCTTGCCGACAAAGGTCCGTATAGTTAAAGCTATGGTTTTCCAAGTAGTGATGTATGGAAGTGAGAGCTGGACTATAAAGAAGGCTGATCGCCGAAGAATTGATGCTTTTGAATTATGGTGCTGGAGGAGACTCTTGAGAGTCCCATGGACTGCAAGAAGATCAACCCTATCCATTCTGAAGGAAATCAGCCCTGAGTGCTCACTGGAAGGACAGATCTTGAAGCTGAGGCTCCAATACTTTGGCCACCTCATGAGAAGAGAAGACACCCTGGAAAAGACCCTGATGTTGGGAAAGATTGAGCACAAGGAGAAGGGGACGGCGGAGGACGAGATGGCTTGACAGTGTTTGACCAAACTGTGGGAGGCAGTGGAAGACAGGAGTGCCTGGCATGCTCTGGTCCATGGGGTCACAAAGAGTCGGACACGACTAAATGACTAAACAACAACAACAACAACAACAACAACAACAGATTAAAATTCCACTCAGACCGCCTTTGATTCTCCTTCCTACATTCATTCTTGATTCCTCCCCTCTAGCCTTTCAAATGAAGATCCCACATGATTTGATCACAGCCAAGTAGCCCAGGATCTGGATTTTTCCACTTGTGTCTGGAGTATCAGTGTTTTCAATTCAAGAGCCACGGTGAGGGTTGGCTACCCCACCAAGGGCCACACAGCTGTGGTGAGTGTGACCAATGCACAAGCATGTATACACACACACACACACACTCCCTACACATGTGGCACAAGCACACAGACTACATCCAGGTAGGCAGATAAAAATACATTCACACATTTAAGCGTGCAAGCAGCAGGCAGACACATAACACTCAGCAGAGGGTGGTGACAGACTGGCAGAGAGACAAGTGGAAAAGACAGGTGTCTGTTCCAGGTTTGTTTCGTTTTTAAAAATTAAAACACACACGAAATACAAACTTTGTGAACACCTTCACTCTGGAGGAATTTGTCTCTTCCCCTACCCCATTAATTTATCACTAAATGCACTATTACGCTATCTTGGTGTCGAGCCTTGATTTATTTGGGAATCAGATTCTCTTCCCTGAGGAGCACCACACATTTCAGGGTGAGCACTTACATTAATGCTGAAATAGCATTTCTTAGATATGGCCACTGGCAGGTTTTTGTGCTGTCACAGCAGACCCTTGGCAGCCCATGTTAAGCATTATTAAGCTTTTCTTTTTTGTAATATAAAGCATGATAATGATCTGGCAGCTGTCATCTTATACAGGTTGCAAAATATAAAGCTTCTTACTTTGCAATCAATGCATAACCCATTGACATCTTAAAACATCTTCAGTGAGGCTGACTTTAATATGTCTTACCTATTGTCAGAGGAGTAGATCGCTCTGGTTCACCACCTGCTGTTGCTTTTATCGTTTGCGCTTAAACTAAGCTTCAGACATCCACCTCCCTAGCAAATCATACATCTTCAGTTTTCAATATGCATGGCGCTGTACACCACATATTAAAAGTCTTTATCTAAATCACCGGCTTTTGGTAATGAGCTTAAATGTAACTGTTGTTTCCCCTGTGTTGAATGTTACACTGTAAGCTCCTCAGGACAATGACCTGTCTTCTTCCACTCTGGAAAACCTCATGCACACATACATATATACAAACAATACACAAACAATATAAGTATGTTCTCAGAAATTGGAAGACATCAACAACATGAATATGAGTTTGTTACCAGAGGGGGGGAAAGCCATTCGTAAGTAAAAATGTGGTCTTGTTATACATGTTTCCAAAGTCATGCTTAGATGCTTTAGTAGCCAGTGGGCACAGAATAGCAGGATAATTAAATTTTTGCAGGCAAACACATCAGAACCATATGCAAAATAGGATCATACATTTCAGAATCATATACTAAAAAAACCTGTAAAGATGATAGAACACAGAGAGATAGGCCAATTTTTAAATGTCTGGACACATTTCTACCCAAATTACATCCTCCACTGCCAGTTTTAGGAAGGAACCTGACTGCTCCACATCTTGCTGAGTCCTTTCCTCACTAAATGGATTAATGGATGATACTCTGAGTCAAAAGATGAATTCCAAGATTGAGAAAATTGAGATGCAGCATGTGGCTAAGAGAGAAAAACCCCTTTAAAGTGTACCTAGGTCACTGCCTTTCCCAATGGTTTCCTGACTAAATTCAGAAAATGGGATGGATAGAACTACAGAAACTATAACCAGAGTGATTCATTCCTGAACACAGAAGTACACTGTGAGATCATTAAGTTAATACCCATTTGTAAAGGTGTACATTCATTACAATGTGAATGAAAAATTCAACACAATCAAGTCAATTTTGTTCAATTTTCATTTGTTCCTATACTAATGTGTAATATCTAACAGTTTTATTATGTTCATTTCTTGAGAGACGCCATTTGTTACCAACCAAATCACAGTAGTAAATATGATACAATACAGGACAGCAGTCTTTAGACACAGTCTGCTCATGCAATGACTTACTTGGATTGCAGCCATGCGTTCCTGGTTATGGATATGTCACGTCCTGAAAAATTCAAAGTACTTTTGGCTCAACAGGTGTTACTCTTAAAATTCTAACACCAGGCAAGCGCCTTTGCTGTACTCTTTTCAGTGCCTGCTTAAAACATGTTTGCTTAGGCTGGCCTATCCAGACACATATATATGTTGACAAGTTTTAATCTTTTATTGCTACTTTTAATTATCTCCTGAATGTTTTTATTACTTGTTTTTAAATGTTTTTAATAGTAAGTTTATTACAATCCATAAGTATAAAAGTTTTGTTAAATAAATAAATAAAATAAAACTCAAAGCAAAGTATTAGAATCAGCTATGTGAGAAACACAAAAGAAAAACAAGTGAAAATGAGGGCTGTGAACACAGCACGTAAATCAGCTACTCCGACAGCCCATCCAGATGTATGCAAGCCTTTCCCCAGTTCTCTTGGCAATTAATTATAAAATGTAATTAGAGACATTGGGTTGAAACGGATCTTTAAAAAAAAATCAATTCAATAGTTTTTGAGTTGTAATGAAGTGACTGCAAATAAATAAAAAGTCACGAAGAATCTGGTTTTCTGATTGGCAGCTCATTCTTAAACATATTATGTGGAAATCTGTTCCACTGATCCCATTTGTAAAAGCACTAGGGTGGGAAACAGGCATGGAATAATTGAATAGGTCCACAATATTTCTCACTTGATCAAATTAAAAATTCTCATACTCAACAGATAATGACAATGGGGTCGTCTCAGACAAACATTTTTAGAGGAATAAAAATGCAGTCACAATTCATTTCTAACAGACACTTGACACTTACTGCTTCAAGGCAATGTTTCTCATGTGGGCATCACACATTCTCCTCAGGGTCAGACCAGAATATTTTGCAAGTTAATTTTCCTCCCTCCATCTGTCAACAATGTGGCGGCTGCATGAAATATAGTTATAAAAGTACCATGCATGGCATTTATCTAAGATTTACTCAGAGTAGACCCACTGAGGTTAATAAACGTGAAGTTAGGTCCATTAATTTCAATGGGTCGACTTTGATACAAATTAGTTGAATACTATCCCATTATTACCTCCTGGACAATACCTATGGTATCAAAAGTGATAAGTATAATAACTTCCCCACTAGTTAATTTTGTAATTTTATCCCCCCCCCCCCCAATTTATACTTTGGAAGCAGAGTACTTTACTGCTGTACTGATAAAGCATATCCCCTTTTAGTTTAACTGCAGACAACACCAACACTTTCACTGCAGTAGTATTTCAGCCTCAGCATGGCCAACAGACAGGGAACATGGGAGCTGTAGCACAGGAACATCTGGAGGGGCACAGGTTCCTCATCCCTTAATTATGGTCTGTGATAGGACTTCTTAAATTATGAGCCCCTGGTGGGTTTCACGATGAGATTTTTCCCCTCTCCCTCCAGGGTTCTCCACTTTTCTGTCACTGGGCTGACAGCATACAGTTAATGTTTGTGGTTTTCCTCTTTTCCTCCCTCTGTGCCAGGGATAAAGAATCGTGACCATCCAGATGTTGATGGACTATAACTCCCATCATTCCCTAACTATTAGTACTGTTGGCTGAGGCTGATGGGAGTTGGAGTCCAACAACAGATTCCCCATTGCTACATTTTAAAATTCTACTTAGATATATACTGCCTAGAAACACTTGCATTAGCATTAAAAATGAAATATAAAATATAAACTGGTTCTGCATTAAGTACTGAAGTGGTATTTAAGAATTCTCAGTTGCAGAGGCAGAAAGTACAGTTTGGAAGATTTACAAGTAGGGCCTGCTTGACTGAGGAAGCTTACAGGTGGCTTGCACTTTGGAACAATTGAGAAGTGCTATTTTATACTAAAGATCTAAAACATAATGAAGGAAGTGAAGGAGTGGGTTTTCTGTTCTTTTCCCTCTGTCACTTAGTGTAAACATGCATATATATTTTTTAAAAATCACCAAACCTTTTCAGAAAAAAGCAGCTGGAGTGGCAAAACAACCCAAGGAAAACACATTTTAAAATATTGGCCATTCATCATTTCTCACGGATTGTAATTTATATGCAGTAAATGCGATGCAAGTGCCTTGTGTACTTTTTATATACCAAAATGCTAAAGCAACTGGTTCCTTTTAGATGCTTTCAACTTTCATTTGATTTCATAAAATGGAGATTTAGATCGCACCAATCATCAAAAAGGAGTTTGAAAGGGCACATGAAGCAGAGCGAGGTGCGTTAAAAGGGAGACCTGCTATCATCCCAGAGGCAGCTGACAAGAATATAAAGGATGGCTGTAAATGTGAAGCCAGGAGCTGCAACTTCAAACACATAGCCAAGGTTTGGGTGGCTCACACTTTTCATTTCTTCTACTTATTTCATGTGTAGTCGGCCTTTCCTTCCAATAGTTCAGCGTATATTGTCCCCACCCCATTTTATCTTCATAACAACTCTACAAGGTAGATTAGGCTGAAACGCAGTGACTGGCCCAAGGTCACCCTGTGGCTGAGTGGGGGCTGGATCACGGCAGTCCTA